TTTATACCGGCCCGGCGCTATAAACGGGCTTCAGTCAGGGACTGCTCGGGCTGGCTGGGGGTTGAAAGCCTTTCCCTGGCCACAGCACCAGGCCAACACGGGGAAGGGTTTCCTTGAGGGCACATAAGCCCCCTCTCCAGCAAGGGCGCTGGCCAAACGGGACACGTACGAGCCAGGCAAGCAGTGCACTTGGCCACTAAGCCCTGGGCTCGGAGAGCCAGCCAAGCCACTCTCCAGTAGGAACAGCAGCTGCATTCCTCTGTCAAAGCTTCTTCAGGTGGGCTCAGGCTGCAGCAGAGGTGCAGACACCCAGTCTGGCGTCACACGGAGGCAGCTCGAGCTCCAGGGGGCTCAGCCACGGTCCTGCAGGACTGGCAGGGGGACACGAAGGGAGGTGACACAAAGAGCCTCAGGGGAGAGCTGGGATCGGCTCCGTGACGCTGTCTGCATGGATACAGGGATCACCTCCCTTCTCCAAGGCAGGGGTCTGGCTCCTCCAGCTGAAAGGCAGCAGGACTTCAGGGCAGATCCTTCCAGCCTCCCAAGGCTTGTGGAGGGGGAGTGCAGAGAGCTCCAGCCGCAGCCCACACCCAGAGGTTTAGGATGAAACAGGGGTGGGCTGCCTTGGAGCTATGCAGCTCCTGGAAAGACTGTCTGCAAGGATTTGGCTGCTTTTCCAGCCTAACTCCCTCGAGTCGGGCAAAGGGGACAGAGTCCCAGAGGACATCCAGGCTCGTGTGTCTACTCATCTTCCTGGAAAACATTCACACCCTCCACTGCTCACTTGCTGCAGCCAAGATGTGCATCCAGAGCTGGGGTCAGGGAGAACCAAGGATGCTGCCAAGAAAATCCAACCCAGCTAACGGAGGGCTCCTCTCTGCACCGCTCATACCACACCCAACTGCCACCCTGTGGGTCCTGAGACCTCCTGAGACCTCCTCCTGAGCACTAAACGGTGTCCACACCCAGCGGGTCACGGCTCCTCACCTGCGAAGGGGGGACTATTTCTTCCTCCGAATCCGACTCCTCGCTGGAATCATCACTGCTATCCATAGATGGTGGGGCCGGCACTGGTGTCAGAGCCGGGGCCTTCTTGGCATTTGTTGGCTGGGGCACAGCGTTGGTTTTCACTGAAGGAAAAGCATAAGGGATTGTCACCATGATGAGTTGCTCTCCATGGCTCTGGAGCTGTCACAATAGGCTGGGCTGTTCCACATACAGGGGAGAGAAGGAAACCCATGAGGATGCAGGTGAGGGATCCAGGCCACTACCAGCAGACTTACCAGCTTGTGGAGGCTGTGTCTGTGTCACAGCAGGCTCCTCTTCACTGTCAGACGAGTCACTGCTCCCGCTTTCTGAAGCCTGGCTTTTCAAGGTGCTTCCCACTGCTTTTTCAGGCAACGCAGCTTTAGCAGCCTGGCTCAGGTTGGGAACAGGCCCAGGCTGTTCTGTTAACCTCTTAACAAAAAAGAAACACAGGCCCAGAGATGTGGTGTTAGTCCAGGTGTTGCTTGGGAGTTGAAGTGCAGTTTCAGCTGATGCTAGGTTTTGTTTTCCCCTAACACAGCTGTTAATCACACTCACTCCGTCCTTGGCCTGTCAAGATTGGAAGGGGCTTCAGTTACTGCCTGGAGCGAGCTGCTGGAGACACATACTGCCACATTTAGCAACACGCTTCTGACAGGACGCCCGTGCGTGTTTTACTACACGAGCATGCAGGGCTACAAGCACTCGTGACCTCGGAACAGCCATTCCTGACTGATGCCAAGACACTGGCTGGACAGGAGCCAGAGGGGAGGAGAAGCACCGTGCCCCGAGACCCCTGTTCCAAAGAAGCCTGACGTTCAAGCACGACCTCCCCTCAGCTTGGGGGATCGGTGGGAGCTGGGAGGCCTTGTGCCAAAACACCTGCAGGATTCAGAAGCAGCATCACAGCAGCTACATCCTAGAGCTGCCAGAGAGCTCAGCGTACCCATGGGGCTGACAGAAGCGTTTGGGAACACAGAGGGCAGGCAGAGACAGACCGGGACACAAGATGTGATTAAACACCTTGGAAACTGAACTGCCAACAGGGCTCAGAATTTAGTAATCTCCAGACAAATAAAAAAACCCAGCAACTCACGTGGGCTGTGCCTTTCTACAGCACCTGTCACACTTCCACGTGCCAGGACAGGCCAGGAGCTACTGTCCCAAGCAACTAGTGCATCAGCACAGCACCAGATATGCGACTGCCAGGTGAGACTTCTCGTCCTGGCCCCTCTCCCGGCTTGGGCTGAGGGCTGCGGACACCCCTCCCGCACTGCTGAAGGCTAGCAGTAGCAGAGGGAGCACTTGCTGCGAGATCTACTAACTTCCCCACCCGCAGAATATTCTCTACGCTCGCAGTGCTCTGCGCCCACTCAGTTTACTCCACTCATCGCTCATCTCCGGGCTGCTCTGCAGAGAGCACATCACGCCTGCCCAGGCGGGCAGACCCCAGCCAACCTGCACGTGACGGCAGCTCCTGCGCCCTGTCTGCAGGCCTCCCGCGAGACGACTCCTAGCCCCTGCTGCCCCGCTTTCCCAGCCCTGCCTTCTCTCAACCTGCAGCGGAGGACTGGGAGGACTTCAGCAGCGCCGGCTCACCTGGGCTGCTCCTGGCCAGCAGCCGAGCGCCCCAGCTGAAGGGCAAGCCGGGAGGATGGATCTCACCGTGCTTCCTGGCACAGCCCCACCGAGGGCTGCCACCGGGCCAGTGTTTATCAGCTCCAAGCCAAACACCAAACAGACAACAGCATCTGCATGTTTATCCCATTACGGAACAGCTCTCGGAACAAGCCAAGCACATTTTGACTCTGCTTAGAGAAACAGAAACCTCCACAAGCGCTCGGGGAGGGGGGGAGTGCAAACCTCACTGGTCTGTTTTGTTGTGGTACCAGTGAGTCACTATCTCCAGGAGAGAGGCCAGATTTGCGATGCTGAAGAGAAAGAACTACTTGAAGCAGACACAAGAATTCACACGCTCTACTTGACGGCGCTGGCTCCTCTCTCTCTTGTCCCAAGCACTGCTGCCCAAGGAGACAACCTACCACGACCGGACCCCGCTCGCTCACTTTTAAGACCTTCAGAGCAACGGGACCGGTTTCTCCCTCCCCTCGAACGCACAAGGGCTGCTTCGTTTCCTAACTCAGCGAGGGAGTGGGAAAGAGCTGCTGTACAGAATCACAGAATGGTTTGGGTTGGAAAGGACATTAAAGCCCTCCCAGTCCCACCCCCTGCCACGGGCAGGGACACCTTCCACTAGACTAGGTTGCTCCAAGCCTCATCCAGCCTAGTCTTGGACACTTCCAGGGATGGGGCATCCACAGCTACAGAGCTATCCTGACAAAGAACAAATTAGCAGTATCCACAGAGAAACTACAACACAGCCTTGAAACTCCTCAGATCTTCCTGGGAGTAGGCCAAGGTCCCTCCATCCATCTCCTGTCACTGCCAGACGGCTGAGAGCATGGCCCCAGGCAGGATGAGGCCATCAGCGTGGCTGACTTACACCCAGGCAGGGAGACTCTGACAACTTAAGACTCACAGGTACTCAAGTAACTCGGAGACGAGGAAAATAATTCAAGAGGAAATAATTTTTCCTGCTCCCTCTCCAGCCCCCAAAGCCGTACAAGCGTGATGACTCAGCTCCTGCACAACCCATCTGCCAGGCCGCTGGGCCTGTTTGCATCACACGGCGCTGCGTGACACGAGGGGGAAACGACGCCGAGCCACGTGCACCGAGGGCACCGTAACCACCACGCTCCATCGCGACTCAGCACTGGCACCTCGGCTGCGTCACAACACAACAAAGGTACCGCTGTCCCCTGCCAGGGAGCAGGGACAGAGACCATCTCTTGGGAGATCTGGCCTCTCCCCACAGGACCTGTGGCCCAAGATAAAACCTTGCAGGCACAACTTCTACCATGTGCATCTCCGACCTGGTGCTGGTAAGTGGGAACGCAAGGCTGTCCACGGAGGGGCTGAGTGCTACCTTGGACGCACAACACCCACGAAGGAGGAAGCAGAGCAGAATTAACAGTTCAAAACCAAAAGGCAGCTCACAGCATCTTTAAGGTCAATCCAGACTGTCCCCCACCATCGTCCTTTCCTCCCCCAAAATATGCAAACACCTTGTCAACTTCTCTGACTAAATATTCCTGAGTCTTCAGGGGTAAACATACCAATTAAGCAGTTCAATTTAGGCATGATGTTCATTTTAATTGTGCTAATCCACCCCCACAGGGAAAGATGAAGCAGCTTCCAACGCTCTGTATCTGTTTGGATCTTGCACAGAAGCCAGAGGAAGTTGCAGGATACAGTAAGTCAGTGGTTAGCATATGCCCAAGTAGCAGATGGTGGGGATGAGCTAAGAAGAGTTTGACTGGGAGGACAGGACTGTGGACACAGCTAAGCCTAATGGTTTATCTTCAGGCTTCACTCGTGGTCTCTGCCTGTAGGCTAGGAACACGGGAAGAAACAGCCTGTTTGGCAAAAATAGAGCTCCCTGGATGACAATCTCTTCCTCGCTGACTGCTGAGGGGTGATCGCCAGTTTTCACGAGGGAAGATGTTGAAGTAGTTAAGAAGCTCTTGGCAAGACGGCTACCTTCTGCTGCCAGCTCCGAATCAGCTCTGGGGGGAACGGCTCCGATGCCAGCATGTCCTTCACCTACAACCCTGCTAGAACGGGCGAATCTCAATAGTTTCACGGTGACACCCCACAGCACAGCGATCAGAATAGCTGCTCCTGCCACCCAGAGCTGAATCTTCACATATAATCACACAGGAAGAGAGCAGCAGAGAACCAACTGCTAGAGATGCGTCCCCCTCCACCCACCTTAGCAGACCAAGGCTATAAAGACAAAAATGCAGAGCCTCTCTGGCTCCTGCCTGTCAATAGCAAAAGGACGTGTTGACAAAGAGCCTCCTTACAAGGACACGTGAGACTCTGCCCCCAGCTTCCCTTCCTCCCAGCAGATAATAGCTGCCAGCTCTGAAACGCTGCTTTCAGGGCATTTTTCCAAAGATACCTGCAGCTCAGAGTCAATGCAGAGGTCTCCGTGCATCCGAGGATGCTCTCCGGAAGCGATTTGCCTCCTTAAGAGTTCAGCCACCCGAGTCCAGGGCTACACAAACCCCCAGAGAGTCAGGACCAAGCTATCGGTGACCCAGCACACAAGGCCCACTCCAGAGGGGCAAAGCATGAGTGGATCGGAGAGGTTACCCCCTACCTTTCTCTGGCACGGCTGAGAGAGAAGAGTTAGGCTGTGCTTGTTTCCAAAGAGAGGAAGATCTTTCTTCGAGGTACCAAGACACAACATAGTACACGCTTCTGTGTCTCAAGGAGACCAGTGGTAGCACTTAAGGGCATTGACTTGTGTATCCCATCATCCCATCCCTTGGAACCAAGCCGGACGCGCTATCCATTACCTTCTGGCTGACAGGCACAGGGAGATCCTCCTCTTCACTGCCTGACGAGTCAGAGCTCTCCACTGGCTTTGGAGTTTCAGCAGGCTTTGTGGGAGTAGCAGTCCTTCCCGGGGTGCTTTTGACCTGCTTTGGCACTGCTGGTTTTGGGGTTGACTTCCCTTGGGACAGCGGAAGTGGTTTTGCCAGAGCTGCTTTGCCAGAGAGTGATGCTGCAGGTGTAGGTTTCACCGGGGATGGGGTGGCCTGGGAAGATTTTGGAGGTGGCTTTGTCTGGGCAAGAAAAGAACAGTGTGAAACAAGGCAAATCCCACAGCAGTACCATTCGTTTGCCCAGACTATAATCAAGGGAAGAGATTTTAGAGCCCCCTGGGAAAGGCAAATGCTGAAAGGAGAGTAGCAACCGTCAGGAAACACAAGATGCCTTTCACCTAGCTGCGTGGGGACAGTCTCCCAAGGTGAGAAAGCAAGACCAGACATCCTTCATCAGCCTGCTGACACTGCCAGTCCCCTCCAGCGAGGTACAGCTCTGCACTCCCCACAGCAGGGAAGCTAAGCTGCGCTACGGTTTGACAAATCAGACACCACCTATTGCAGTTTACAGCCAAGAGGCAAATTCAACCGTGACAATTTGCCTCTTCAGGTGGCAAAAGAATTGCTGGGGTTTTTTTTTATTTATACAGTGGCTAAGGAGCTGTGAAGCATTAACGCTGATGAGAGCTTCACCTTAATTAATTCTTTATTATTTTCTTTTAGGCCAGGGGTGGGTTTACAGCGACAGTGGAGCAGGAGCTGAGGTCACTTGAGTGCCAAGGAGACTGACGTGCTGGACAAGACTGATGGATTCTTTTACGAAAGGCACAAAGCTTGATTAAAGCTCAGTGCAAAGACACTGCACTGCCCTTAAACACCCCACAACTCCTTCCTCCCACCCCCAACATGACTTTGCTACACACTACATGCATTTACAAGACTTCCTTTCCATGGCAATGCCCAGCCCTGGAGCAGCACGCCGGGAGAGAGAGCCTCGGACAGACGCACCGGGGGTACCGATGGAGGTGCCTCATCTTCGCTGTCTGACGAGTCGCTGCTCTCTGACGAGTCATCGGGCTTTGCAGCCCCAGGAACCGTTGTGGACGCGGGTTTGGCCTGGTTTGGTGCCACCGCCGTTGGCCTTGCTGCGTTCCTGGAGGGCACTGGAGTAGCAGGGGCACTTTTCACTGGTGCTGCATTAACCTGCACTGTTTTCACAACTGGTTTTGCCTGGGGGAACAAAAAGGAACAGGAGAACCAGGTAACATCACACAAGAAACTGGCTGAGAGCTGTAACCGTGTGGAATCTGCTTTAAAGACGGCTGCGGTGCTAGCTTTGAGCAGGATGGGCTTGTTCAGACCCATGGGCTGTGCAGTATCTGAAGCAAGCTGCTTTCTCCACCTGACTACACCCAGAGATCTGCATGCAGATCACCTCCTACAGATCCAAGGATCTCCCTCAGCTCCAGTCACCCGGAGAAACTGGGATGGAATGGCTGATGCTGGCAGGGTTAGTGAGGTTCTCAGCATGTTTTTGCAGCCTTGGGTTTGGGGTTCCCACACACCAAGGGAAGGGGGTGCTGTCAGACTACAGCACTGCAGCATTTCCTCTTTCCTTTGATAGTCATTTCCTAGAGGGAAGGACCCTGGGTCGGAGGTTACCTGGCCCGCTGGAGCTGCAAGCTCCTCCTCAGAGGACGTCTCATCACTTGACTCCTCACTGCTGCTCTCAGCAGCCCCAGCTGCCTGCTTCGGCTCTGAAACACAAACAAGGAGATGTCACAGCTGCTGCCTGCCCCAAGCTCCCAGAGCCTGGTGCTACTTCAGCTTCTGAAGTCAGGGAAATAAAACGAGATGCAGCGAGGGCTAAAGGGGTCTTGCAGGGATGAGGGCCTAGCCCTGCTGAAAGCATCAGTGGCCTGCTGGGAACCGCTTCTCCAGACAAGCGTTGGGCCACGAACACTGCTCCCCCAAGTGTGAGCAGAGATGAGAAACCCTTCCTGGCCACCCTCTGACCCTTCGGGGAGCTGTCTGGCCACACTCAGCCCCCTGCTGAGCCTCCTCTAGAAAAGCACCAAGAGAGGGACCATTTTCAGACCCTCTACGATCTGTTCCTCATCCCCCGCCCCAACACACACACTTCAAAGCAGTAAGAGATTTCCCAAAAGACCTCAAAATGCAAACCCAATCACTCTGCAATTGGGAACACAGAGAAGACGCTGCAGTGCCTTTCCAAAAAGCTGAAAGCACCTACAGTACTAGTGCTGCGTCTCCTCCACACACCCTGTGCTGTCATCTCCAACTCCGTAGCGCTGGGTGCTGCCAGACAGGCATCTTAGCACAGAATCCGCCGCTTGAAATGGGAGCAAGCACGCTGGATTCATCCCACAGAGCTCTGGAGCTGGCTGCTTTGCAGTATTCTCGCAGCCTCACTGAGGAACAAGCATCGCTCCGAGCTTTCCAGCAAGGGAGCTGAAAGGAACGTGCTGAAGGCACGGCTCAGACGTGACTCGCAGCAAAGCTGGAACACACATGCACCTACCACACGCTGCAGGCTCCTTACCCGCTTTGGGGGCTGGGGCCTTCGCACTCGGCGTCTCCTCTTCCTCCTCGCTCTCTGATGAGGAGCTGCTGCTGCTGCTGGAGCTTTCTGGTGCTTTGATCGTTACCGGTGCTTTGGTCGTTACTGGTGTTTTGGTCGTTACCGGTGCTTTGCTCTGACCTACTTTGGCCGCAGCTGTGGCGCCATGTCCGGGTTTCCCAGGCCCAGGCGGTTTCTGTCCGGCCTTGGCTGGAGCTGCAGGCACAGCCGTCGTAGTGGGCGGCTGCTTGTTGGAGCCTGCAGTTCTGTTGGCAGCTGAGAGCCCCGCTGCTTTGCCTGCTGGGGCAGCGGGCTTTTTCGGAGAGTGCAGGGAGTTGGCAGCTTTGCCACCTGCCCCAGCCGGTGTCACCTGCAGGAAAGAAAAGCAGTTAGAAGCCTAGAGACAGATGAGGGGCTAAATTGGACACAACACACCTTAAACAGCAATCTGGCAGCTGGGCAAGCCTCTTTAAGGAGGCACTACGGGGACAGATATCTGAGAGGTGGCTTATGGCAGCAAAAGAGGGTAATTTAAATATGAATCCCAGCCCTGCTCACAATTCTACACATGCTGGGGCAGTCTTGGCCTCACAGCACCAGCCTTCGAAGCCAAGAGAAGTACTGCCTTACCGTAACTGTACTTTTTCCAGCTGCTGTCTCCTCTTCTGATGAAGAGTCATCATCTTCACTGCTTTCTACATTCACTCCTGAGTTTGTGGCCAGGGAAAGGCTGGCTGCTGCACAGGAGACGAGACAGAGAAATCACGCGAGAGCCTCTCGCATCAAGATGGACTCAGGTCCGCAGGAAGGGCAGGGTCCTTTCTTCACACCTGTCCCTGTGACAGGAAAGTGCTTTGCTCCTCCACCCCATCCTTCTCCTCACCACTACGACCTGCATGTTTCCAAGAGCTGGTCTACAGCAGGTGACACTGAGCCAAAACATATCAGACACGTGGCTTTTTGTTAGACCGTGCAAGCCAATGCCTCCCGCGTCAGCTGCGCCAGGGATCTATCCCCACCTCAGACAGGGCACTGGTTTTCCAGGCCAACTAGCAAGTCCTTCCCTCATCCATGAGACAGGCCTGCCTTTGCTGGCCCAACAGACACGCAGGACGCACTGGAAGGTGCTGCACAGCACACAGCATTAGGTTCCCGAGGCTTCATCCAAGCGACAACACCCATCCCTCCCCAGCAAATCCGAACAGATTTTTTTCCAGCTTCAGCAGACATCTGTGCTCCTCAGAAACTCCAAGAGAAGGGTGTGCTAAGTTAGCTGTCCCATTTTTCTAAGAGCACATGGGAATAGCCATCACTTTACAAGCATTTTCTCGAGCCAAGCAAGTCGGGTTGCTCCTACACAAGCCTCCAGTCCTACTTTGTCAAAGCCAGGGAGAGGAAAGGCTCCTACCATTTGCAGCTTTCGCCTTCTCCTTCTCATCCTCTTCTTTCTCTGAGCTCTCAGAGCTGCTCACAGGATCAGGAACTCTGATCTTTTCAGGAATGGCTGTCTCCTCATCACTCAACTTCCTTCTCCTGGAATTCGAGGGAGTTCTGAGGGAACAGAATTTGCATTAAAATGAGGGAAAAAGAATTATCTTGAACAAATTGGAATACAATTATTCCTCCACTCTCAGGTCAGGCTCCAGCCTAAGGACATGCAGTGTCATTCCCTACAGATCCTAAGGGGGTAGGAGAAATACTTCTCTAACCCGCAAGAGACATCTCCAGTCCTCCTCCAGCAGCTCCCGAGAGCAACACATGCCTGCAACACTCAGAGGAGATGCTGAACGTGGCCTTTTTTCCTGTTCTAGGCAGGCTCTTCCTCACTTTACCAGAAAAGTAAAACCATGTATGGTCAGGCTGGTGCTCACCACAGTGCAAAGGCACCCTACAGAACCAACTCCATCTCCAGGAGGCAGCTGGAGCCAGACAGTGAGTGTAGTCCCAGGGTTAGGGCAGTGATCCTCAAAGAGGTCAAGGCCAGGAGATGTGCCTCTAAATGCTGCAAAAGCCACCTGAACTCGGGCTCACAGGCCAAAAGGACAAAAGAGTCAGGTTGCAGAGAGATTTAAGAAAGGCAGTGGCTGGGCCTACAGAAGATGTGTTGAAAGAAGGGGAGGAAGAGGTCACAGATGAGCATTAAATGCTTAAGTGGTTCAATAGGGTTAAAACATCAAGCTGGAGAAGGATGCCTCCAGGCTCCAACTCGTGCCTGTACCAGAACAGATGATGTGGCTAAAGTCATCTCTAATTTCCAACGACAACACAGGTAGCATACTTGCCTTATTACAAGGCTAACGTTGGCTGGGCACACATCCGTGTGATGCACACATGCGATACTTCTAAGCCCTGAAACACACAGTTATCAGAGGCAAAACCCCTCACTTTTTCACCAGTCTAGCTTATTTTATTCATGTGATTTAAAATAAGATTAGGTTAACAATTTGGCCAATAAAGATCATGCTTACTATTAAGTGTTTTAGTAGCTGTGCTGGTTTTAGTCAAGACAGTTACTTTTCTTCACAGCAGCGGGATGAGGCTCTTGTAGGTTTGCCATGGGAAGAGCACTGATAACACTGGTGTTTTCAGTCAGTGCCAAGGAACGTTTGTACCAATTCAAGGACTTTTTCAGCTTCTGATACTGCCCCTGTGTTCCCAACCTTCTCGCTACAAGCAGCCAGGAGGGGACACAGCCCAGACAGCTAACCCAAACTGACCAAAGGGTGTTACATTCCACAGCACCTCCTGCTCAGCAGACAGGCTGGGGGACATTGTCCTTAGCTGGGCTTTTTCCGTGGTCGCTCTCTGGCTCAGGCTCTGCTGCCATCACTCTCGGGCTCTCTGACTCTTGCTACTCAGGACCTGGCTGGGTGTTGGTCAGTAACTGGTGAGCAATTGTATAATTTGTTGCATTTTCCATTATTTTTATTACATATTATTAGTAGTATTTTCATTAAATGTTACTATTAGTATCACTATTATTTATAATAAATTATTAAACTGTTCTTATCTCAGCCCATGAGTTTTCTTGTCTTTTCCTTCGCTTCTCCTCCCCCGCTGGAGGGGAAGGGGGATGGTAGGCGAGCGGCTGGGTGGTACTTAGTTGCTGGCTGGGGCTAACCCCCACCAGCAGCACAGCTGTAACAGCAAGCTGTTTGCAAGCAAGCTAAGCCAAAGGCACATTTTCTGCTGCAAAGTCCTGTTAACTACTTTAATAATCCTTTTATTAAATGAATAGGGCAAGACACACAGGCAGCTATGATATTCCAGTGCCTTCCTGGTTCAGTGGCAGCTGACGGCACAGCAGAGACTGCCGTGAGAATTTGAGGGCTGCAGCATGCTAGCTGCTCCTGGGGCTTAGCTGGTCTGGCTTCCTGCTGCACCTGGGCACCCTTCCACCCCCTCCAAGGCTAAACGTAGCCCTGCAGGGAGGCCACTCTTAAGTCACTGAAAATCTCAGTTGTTAAGTTCACTGTGAAAGAGTTTCTGAAAGAGAGCACCAAGGAAGGCCTCAGTGAGATGGGCAAGAGCCACAGCACAGTAAGAGGAAAGGCACTGTCAGGTCAAAAGCCCATGAAGCGACAAGATATGAGAACCACAGCTCACCCACACGAGAGCACTCCAGCCAGACAAAACTAGGGGTCAGTACTGGCTCCAAACCAGGCATACCTCAGGGGGGCAGGAATAAAAGGTGTACTTGTGGGGTGGGACCACAACATGAGGGTGACACTAGAGAAAAAGGAATTAAACATGATGCGAGTGCCCTGTCACCCCCCAAACTTTAAAAAGGAGGGTTTGCTGTGGCACCCAGGATAACTAGCGCAGAGAAAGGCCACCGTCAATACCCAAGAGCACAATAAATTGTTAGAGGGAGGAACTGCAAGCCTGTTTCTACACTGCTACACCCTCATCTAGATCCAGTCTTTCTCCTGCCCAAGTAAGAAAATCATTGAGATAGAAGAGCAAGATCTGGGGTAGCACCAATGCACGAGGTGTTCTATCAACAGATGCCTTTGAAGCAAACACCTACTTCCCGAGGCTGCTGGCATGGCCACGCTGAGGAGCATCTTCACTCCAGCTCTCCTCATGCTGGAACAGAAATCCAGCTCCACTGATTCCCCGATAACCCGTCCCCATGGCTGCCACCAGGCCTCCCTGCAGCGCTGCACTCCAGCATCAAACCAAAGCGAGCGGTGCGCAGGGTGGGTGCAAACGCCATCACACCCCACAGACGGGAGAGCTCCACGCTGCAGACCGCCACATGGGGTACTCCATGGAGTAACTACGCGTGAAGGCTTTGGGCTAAACATGTAAGGGGGCTTGAAAGGACAGGCTGAAACCAAGAGAATTCCTCCGAGTCAGAAACCTTGGCATTTCAGCATCTGCTCAGATTCTCTGCATTTGGGTCAATATGCCTGTGAAGCACATGGCCTTAAAAAGAAAGTGAAACAGAACTGGGGAAAAAAATTTTTTGCTAGTAAAGTGTGACTCTGAGCCCCACAGTATTCCAGTATTAACCCCAACAGGCCAGAACAGCCTCAGGTTCTCAAAGCTAGAGTAATAACTTATCTCCCAGCTCAGGAAATTTTAAATCAAAGTCATATTTTAACATGTGAAACGAATCAGTCTGAAACCAGAGGCTAGGAGGAAAGTCTGCTCAGCACAGTTATCATCAAATACTCTGACAACGGGAAATTCCAGCAAATAAAGATCACACGTGCCATGCAGCCTGGTTGTTAACACAGTCTGGAATCTATTTGATAGTCATTTCCTTCTTCAACTTACTTCTCCCAGTGGGTAAAGATGTCCTCGAGAGAGGTCAAGAGGGAAGGGAGCAACTTCTGTGAAAGCAAAGGGGACACAAGTCAGGGATCGGCCTCGTTTCAGGATGCGGCCACCAGACAGAACTACAGACGGCAGAAGCCCCTCCAGGAGTCCCCAGAAAAACGGGAACGTGTCCGACCCACACACGCGCACCCAGCAAAGCCCCCCCCGTCCTGCTCCGGCGGCCCGTGGCGCTGCACCCCGGCGTTCT